TGGATTTTTTAGCTCCCTTTTGATTTTAAGCTGGCGCGTACGCTTACCAGATTTGTAGATTATGGTATATTGGCTGATATACCATAATGGCTAAGCCAATAAAAAGTCTTGAATTGCATTATCCAATGATCCAGATTTTAATAAAGAGTATTATTCCAGTGACTTTTCTACCCCAAAAAAAAAAAAAAACACTGACGCCGTTTTCCAATCACCACCTTCAAGTCAGAAGGGGAACTCGGAGAAAAAGGCTCCCATTTCCTTTATTTTCCACGCTTTTCAATGACCCACATTGAAATTGTTGCCTCGAATTTTAGTTGAATTCCTTGAACCCGAGGGGTGACTATCATGTAAAGTCTCATTACAGTATTCCCCGCAAATCACGCCTCAAGGTCACGAGAATAAAGAAAATGATCACCAACTAGAGAAGCTCTTAATTGTTGATAACATTCTCCTTGTCAGTACCTTATGGAGTGCATAGAGAACAGTTTGTGCACACTGATATTAGTGTGTAAACGAGAATTTTATATCTTCACAGTTTCCTTTGTTGCGTTTCCTTTTTGTTTTTAAATTTGGGCAAAATCTCCCAGCACATACGAACACACACAAAAGGCTGGTCATGCCCGTGTCATACTTTTTTATTAGTATAATTTCAGAGCTGAGCAAAGAGTTTCCAGCAATCTGATTGGTCGAGCGGTTCCTTATATGACGCTATATAAAGTGCTCCACGCGGTTTATATTAAATGTTAAAATAAAAAGTTAATAAATGTTATTCAAATGTTATGATTTTAGAAATTTCTCTGTTGTTCAGCTCTGAAATTATACTAAAACAATTATTCGCCTCAGTTTCGGTGAATATTGTCGAATAATCCCCTCGACTTCGTCTCTGAGATTATTCGACGATATTCACCTTGCTTTGGGCGAATAATTGTTAAATATAAAATATAATATGATTGGTTCAAGATCAATAAAGATTGTTGTTTTCACCTCTCTGGTGGCTGCCCCAAAACAGCTCTAATTAAAGACTTCATAAGAGATCTCTGGATGTGCTTTTTTTCCCCTTATAAATGTAGATGTCCATGAATGGACGCTCAAAAGTCAGAACTGTGATGCCAACGCGCAATGCACTAACACGCCATGATCATATACCTGCCAGTGTAACCATGCGACTCACTACTATGGAAACGGGACTACGTGCCATACTTTCAGTAAGTGCTTGAACATCTGCTATTTTGATGATCGTATTTTTGTCAGCGAGCTAAAATCGGCAAGGACAACAAAAATTTTTGTTTCATTTTACTTTATTTTTTTCACCAGCTCGTCCAGCCTTTCTGCCTCTCCCCACAAACATCATGAGAAGTAGTGTAAATACAAGCTAAGCCTTGAATTTTTCTATGGACTTCGTATGTAGTTGAAGGAAAATTTCTTCATCACTTACGTTTGATTCTCCTTTTTTAACTACCAGGAGGACTCGCTGACTCAAAAATTATAGGCAAAGACACCAGAAAATTGTCCCAATTACATTCCTGGCTACATTCCCGCTTGCAGAGTCAGTCTAACAGTTACTGGAGTCTATGCTATAGAGCCTCGAGTCATGGATGGAGTTCATCAACATTTCACAGCTACTGTGATAACCGCGGACCAACAGTGACGATCATTCGTGCTCATGGTTACGTATTTGGTGGTTACACTGATCAGTCATGGACATGTAAGTTCGTTAAAAAATAATAAACGATCAGTCTCTCAAATGTACAAGATTATGATATGGCGAGATAGGTCCTAAATGTAAAACCGAGCTCTCTGATTGGTTCTTACTTGGTCGGTATTTTCTCATACGGACCTTTTCCACGGAAAAGGTCAAAGGCTTTGTATTTCTATTCGCAAAAGCCGGCAAATCAGACCATAAACCCGTTTTGTCCGAAAGCCTTAAAATAAATTACTCACTTTTTCGCTTGTTCGAGCAAACCTCGGACCAATATATTCCCCAGTTCAGCTCTCTTGTGCTCGGTTAGTAAGAAGTCATTGATTATCTTATATTTCATGAATTACATCCAGCTAAAAATACTAGACGTTTATCCAAAATTATATTGCCATTTTGTTTACGCTGTCAAGCAAAAAGTAGAAAAGAAAATGAACAAAAATACAGGAAGTATATGAAGGCAATTGATCTGTCGAAAACCTTATTTGATAGGAGACCAAGCTTCTTAAATAATTGGGTGCTACTGTTTGAACTATAACAGAGTTTTATGTGAAGATAATACCCCTTGGTTTCTCTCTCATGGATGGCTTCCTTCCCCCCTCCTCCCTTCCCCTTTTGCAAGCCTTAATTATCAGTTATAAAACAGTAAGCTGTTAAAACAGGAAAAGTTCTATTAACATGGGGTTCTTGCAAAGGAAAAGCAGAGACGTTTCTGGTAAGCCCTAATGCAGGGCTGCACCTCCCCACTTTGCAGCTTCAAATACCTGTTTGATGACCAGGACAAGAAAAAACGCATTCTTACTGGAAAACAAATTTAATGCCCTTCTCCAAAAGAGTCAAGACACCTATCCCAATCATGTGGAAAATATTTTCCATCAGAGTGCCTCTCTTCAAGGTAATGCCATGCCCCAGTGAACTCACCTTTACCCTCAAACAAGTGTTTGAAAATGTGAGAAGGAAAATTGATTGTCTCTGGAAGGCAGCATTTAGAATTCAATCTTCCTTCTACTGCTATTCTGAAGCTGTCTACTGCCTGAACTACATTCTTTCCTGGCTGTGGGTTGTCAAACAACCTAACAATACAGAATCAGGGACTTTATTTTACGGAGGTTTTTCACTATCCACACAAATTAGAGACTGTGTATGCTTCTCTGCATTTCATTCTGTCTCATAAGCTTAAATAATTTGAATAAGTATACAAGTTTACTTAAAAATTTAAATAGGGGGGAAACAAAAATTATTTTGCATCTATGTCAAAGGTTCACTCGAAATTAAACTTAGAACACACACGCAAAAAAGAAATCGCAGTACTAGAACAGTGTGTTACACTTGTATGGTAATATTTATTCAAAAAAACTGACCAAATACAATCCTCGGAAATGTTATCAGACAGCTCCCACGTGGATTCATATTTGAAGTAGCCACTCCACTTAACCAAATACTCTGTATCCTGAAAAAATCATAAAACACAGTGCTTCTGAGAACTTGGCAAATAGTAAAAAATAAATAAAAGCCACGATCGAATATAAAATATACTTTTAGGAAAAGGGCCTGGATATTCAGGTCAAATTC